AAGGTTTTTAATTTTAGGAGATGAACAATGTGTTCGCCGTGTACGGCATTGAAGTTTCGAAACGACATCTGTCACTGACCGCTGATTATATGACATACACTGGACAGATAGCACCATTCAATCGAGCAGCGATGTCATCCTCATCGTCACCACTTCAGAAGATGACTTTTGAGACGACTATGGCTTTTATGAAGGAAGCATTGTTGCATGGTTAGTTTGAATGAGGCTAAGGTGTACGAGATGAACACTCAAGGTGAGTGTGCGAGGAATTAGGTTATTGAATTTGACAGAGCTTGAAAAGGTCTTGAAGAAGTTAGGACCTGCTTACCAAGAAGATTTGTTAAAGGAAGCTTCGCTACCAGCTTTTTGATTGCTTTGTGATGAAAAATTCAAAGGCTTTATTTTTTCACCTAAAAAAGTGACACCCCCGATAATAATAAAAACATATATATGTGTATCTCATTGGTATTGAGGAAGTAGAGTGAGTTCAACGTTTTTTGCCCTTTCCTTTCACGGCGTCTGTACCTTAAATATTTTGGCTATTTATCGTGCACCAAAGATCAGGGGTTCGGTCGCGTGTAAACCAGCAGCACTTTCTAATATTCACAAATAAATCATATTAAGACAGTTAGTAGTTGAGTTCAAAGTTTAATATAGAGTCAGTATAAAAAGTTGCGATGCTTAGCGATGACAAATCGTTTGTTGATGAGTAGATCGCTGTTGGACGACTTGTCATCGGCGATTCATCGACATCGTGGAACATGGTGGCTCACTAATAGTTTGGCAAGAAATCGAGTGATTTTCGAAGTTCTGTTTTGATGACTGTACGAAATTAAGCAGGAATATTTCCTAATTTAAAAAATAATGACTAATGCAGGAGGTTATAGAAATTTTTAGGCTATGACTAAGTTTGAATTTGCTAATGATATTATACACAATGAGTCATGTTTTTTAGTATGGCAAAGCTTTTTGCAGATTCCTACATAAGTGTGGCACTTTTACAGATTTTTTTTTGAAAATCCATAGAGTGTTAAACATTTTTTTAGCCTTATACAATTATTCATTGATCATGTGTGTCATGGGATAGGCAAACCATTTAAGTTATAAGAATGCTTCTTAACAGCTTCACACGCAAAGAATAATTGATAAATGAGCGTTTTCAGCGCGCAACTGTTTGATCAGAAGTTCGACCTTCTTCAAAGTTTGTCTCAACTGTGATTTTATAGCAGCTGATGTACAAATAGTAGAGCAATGTTGCTTGAATTCTGGAAAGAATGAGGGAGAATGATGTGCTAATTTGGACTATCCATGGATACTTTAGACATTAGGTGTAAAAAAATAAATCCTCTGATGAAATCCTATTTAATATAAATGGCGTTGCAGATTATTGCTACTGAAGAGTGATAACTCATAAAATTTGAGAGAAGCTGTGATAGATGGACTTGCTTGCAAAGTTCTGGAGATTTTATGCTAAAGACTTTTGCTCTTTTGATTGTGTTTTGCACTGTAATTGTATCTGACATCGCTGAATGGCCTTATTTATACCTCAGAAAGTCTGGTCATGAATACTTTTTATATCTTGTAATCAATTCCCAATAAAGCTAAAATTTGAAAAACAAAAAAACTACTAAAATTGTGGGATTTGAACCAGGAAACAACTTGGAGACACCTTTTGGAGCCATGATTCGTTCACTATGTACTCCGAATGGGCAATAATAGACTGCATTTTTGTCGGTATAAAATAGTGAAATCACCTTATGAGTTTAAGAAGATTTATCACAGGCGCGGTCGAAAGAAAAGATGCATTCACCCCACCCCCCCTCTCCTCATATCCATCTTTCCCGGCTTTCCTTTGACTT